TTTTAAAAATATATATATATTTTGACCAAATCAGGTACTACAAGTTAATCTACATAAACCTATCTTGTATATACATAATTGCGAACACGGTTTGAACTAAACTAGTAAATTTAATAGATATATGCTAGGCTGTTAATTATAATCTGATTTTAATTTGGTTAAGGTACATTCATACCCTGTAAAATTTTAATAAACACATGTAGAGTATTGAAGTGTAGAACTGTAGATGTATAAATTTGGATACTTTTAAACTAAACTCATATATTCAACACTGGAGAACTAATTTGGATCCCTTTTATTTTTACTTTGGTTTAAAGAACCTTTGTATCCTGATAAAAATTAATAAATACATCCAGGTTATAGAATTTTAAGACTATGCACTTTATAAATAAATATAGTTTTAAAATTTTTCTGAATATCTTAAATAATTAATAATTATTTAATTTAAATCTCTTAGGTAATGTAATTTAAATTTCTTGGGTAATTATATTAAGAATTTATACTAATTTGTGTTAAATTCTAAATCTTCTGCTAAATATTGAATATTATTTAAAATATCCTTAACCAAACACTATTTTTAATATAAATTATAAATGGATTGTTAAATTGAATACATCTGAATCTTAGCCATGTAGAAATCAGACAGTGTGTTTTCTCTAATCCACATTGTCTCAACAATTACTTCCTTTACCCACTTTTTTAAAAAAAAAAAAAAAAAGAAGAAAAATGCCATATTAATGTAGCAAATTAAATATGAAATCAGTAGATTAAATTAGGTCACCAAAAACTTTCTGTCAGAACCCTCAGGTTTTACATCTTTCCCACCACCCTTAAATGGCCTTAAACTTACATTTTTCTTTTCCTACCCTCTAAATAAGATATTAGTATTTCTTGATTTTAACCAGGAGTAATTTTTTCTGTAGTTATATTTGGTTTGCAGGTCTGAAAGATTGAAAGCTATTTTTTTATAGCTTTCATGAAATAAAAATTATTACCTATGGGATTTTAAGTGTTTGATATTTATTAATTAATTAATATTGTGTGTGTGCGTGTATATGTGTCATATATATATATATATATATATATATATATATATATATATATATGAATGTGTCTGTCTATAATCAAAATAAAAAGAAAGTACAGTCAGATTTATAATCCACAGTTCTCTAGTATTTATTTTTAAAACCATTGCTTGATACACAGTAGAGCATAATATTATAATATTATTATTTAAAAATATGTATTCGGCGCGACACAAGTTACCATGTTTCGGAACTAAAAACTAAACTTTAACATTAAAATTTTTGTTCCATTCTCAAGCAATGTTAAATAACTTTTGAAAAAAAATGATTTACTTTTTTAAGCTAAATAGTTTAAGTTGGAGGGGTACAAGGATTATAAAATTTTAAAGGGTGTATTTTATAAAAAATAGAAAGATAAATAAATAATAATGCCAATGTATTGTAGTGTATGCATGCACCTAAAAAAAAAAAAAAAAAAAAAAACAGACAGGATGACATGTTCTCATATAAGGAAGCCAGTATTGACAGGCAGAAATTACAAACCCATACCTAACCCCTAACCTATATTTGCACTTTGCCATCTTTAGACTTGTATCCTGCTTCGTCCAAAAAGACAACACCCTTTTAAAATTTTGTATCCCTTTTCTCACCACTCCAACTTAAGACTTTAATGTTAATTTAAAGTTTATTTTTTAGTTCTGAAACATGATAATTTCTGTGTTGCAATGAATACATATTTTTAAATAATATTATATTGTATGTATGTCTGTCTCTCTCTTTTTTCTCTCTCTCTCTCTCTCTCTATATATATATATATATATATATATATATATATATATATCATGGTAGATGTCAGCCAGTACCTCATGACCAGTGTGACTAAAATGTGCTGAGTCCCATCATGCATGAACCACATGCATCTTCGTATTAGCAGAGACACTTCTTGCAGGTCTGGAAGTGGGTTCAAAATAAAGTTCCTGCAGACAGCTTCTGCAAGATATGCTGGGAGAATATATGGACCTACCAGACAGTCTCCTACAATTCCATCCCACACATTGTAAACTGTTGCTGGTGTCTAGCCTGTATTGTGCCATGGGGATTCTGATATTTCTACAAATATTGGTTGTGTAAATTAGCCATTTGATCTCTTCCAAATGTTACCTCATCCATAAACAAGACTGAAGAGACAAACAGACTGCCAGTTTGTGCAATAAACCATCACCAAATGTTCTCCCATGTTGAGTGATATATAAGGTATCTGTATCGGTATCGTTTGCAGATGATACCTATACAGGAGCTGCTCTTGAATTATCCTCCATGCAGTACTATGAGATGTATGACATCCTAGGGCTACTTGATGTGTTCTGATACCTGCATTGTCTCTGACAGCCTGTAAAATGTGTTCTTTGTTGTATGGTGTATGAGTGGACCTCAGTCTTCCTTCATCTATAGTTTGTGGTGCTATGGATCCTGTGTCAGTGACATGATGATAAACAGTAGCCAAGGTTGGATGATTTGGCTGTTTTCAGTCTGGAAACACAATCCATTATATTTGTGTAACCTCGCATCTATTACCATTCAAGTGGCTGTATGTAAAAACCATATCTGCCTGTTCACGATATGAATATCCTGCCATTGTTAAACAGAACACTTCTCAGTTAACTCACTGCTACACATGTTAAATGTTGAAGACAGACTAGCCACAAATGTACATGAATGACAAATGTAACCTAGTCTACATGGCAATACAGCACCATCTACGGTAAACTTTCTTTAAACATTATATCTCAAAAATGAAGGATTTGCGGACATATGTTTATATGGACTTTTGTCCTTGTTTTGATGTGAGGAACCTGCCCCAATGTTTGTAAAAGTATTTTTGATACACTCTGGATATATATATATATATTATATATATATATATATATACACACACACCAAAAATACATTTACTTACTTATTAGTGTAGTGCCAAAGTACTACTTGTTTCTCATTCTAATGGCAGATGCCAGAAATTTTTCATCCTTTTATTTTATTTGCTTTTATTTGCCTACTTAGATGGTTGCAGCTGACATTTCTTGAATTGTCCTGTGATAATTCCCTATAAACATTCTCTCACATTTAAATATGTAAATTCTTCATACGTGTTTAATTTTAAGTGAATCCATACTTATAGAAAGGTCATTCCACATCTGTTGTCTCTTTATTGATGACAACCATACAGCATCAGATTCTAAAGTTTCTTCTTTCCTATGCAGTGCCAATTTTAACTTTTTTTTTGTCTCATATGTATTCCCACTTAAAATTCTAAATAAAAAATACTACAGCCTGATAAGTTCTATGTTAAAATTATTTATTTATAGATAGAATATGGTATTTTCACAGAAATCATATTTTTTTTTATATGGAATTTCCACTGATCCCCAAACCACAAAATGGAAAGTTATACCTCTATTATTGGAGTCATGTTTTTATTTGCTGCACCTGGAAGTATGGTGATCATATTTATCCAAAGTGCTAATTTGAAATGGCTCATGGCATTCAAATCAATTATAACAAAAAATCCATGGAAATCTGAAGACCTTCCAGAATTAGAAAGTTGCAGATTTATAAATAAAATATAATTTTTTGTACTTTACATCATATTAGAATAAGAGCATAATATTTGTTATTGAATTGAATATAATCATCTTTTAAAAAAAAATGATCATCTAACTCTTGATTGTTTTCTCATCGGGCTTTCAGAATACAAGAATAATGAATTAATCATTCAGATATCAATTGCTTCTGCAAAAACTTAATAAAACCACTTTAATCTCCGAATTTATGTAATGAAGCAGAAAAAAATAACTGAGATTAAAGATAGCTTGAAAATATAATACATTTATTCACTATGCCCTCTTTATTCTGAAATGATGTATGAACTTCTGTTAAACTGTCCTGAGTTCATATGCTCTTCAATTAACTTGTCTGACAGCAAAAATCCATCTATATAATCATAAAGAAATTGCAATAGATATTTTCACTATTTGTCATAACATGTATTGCATTTTTATATTATTTTGACCAAAATCTATTAGGGATCGCTGACTGCAGCCTCTTTATCTTGTATAAACGTAAACTATTCATTAATATAGACATTTCTCTATTTAAACCTTAGCAGCAGAGATCAGTAATGTTAGCATAGATACAATTTGAATACTTCAATGATATTCTGTGGAATAAATTGCATATTATCTTTGAGCTTATTGATGCCTGAGAAATATTTTTAATATAAGAGCTTAGAATTAAATATTCTTATAATACTACCATGCAATAAAATATAATCCTGGATTTGATTTACATCTACTCTTATTATTTACCTGATTAAATGACAGATGCCAAACTCTCTATTTTACTTTGAATCTATAAAGTCAAATAAGGGAAAATTACTGGTAAAATATGTACTTAATATTTGCTTTATTAGACATTTCAGCATCTTTATAATGTCTATATTTAGAGTATCAGCTTGTTATATTAATAATAACACCTTCATCAGCACATTACAATTTGTATGAATACATTAGTGAATGTTTGGAAATTAGCAAACTTTACTTTTATTTAACCTTTAACTGTGCCCTAGAAAGTTGAGAAACCTCTTAGAAATTAAAGGCTCCCACAGATCTCTTTTACTGTGATGATAGCTTTTTCACAATTGGAATCTTTCTGTATTCAGGAGTGATAAAAATTGAATTCCAGGACAGAAAAGCTTAATAAAAAAAATGACATTAGAGTCAGTTAAATAATGGTTCCTTTTTAAAATCTACTTGAATCTTGATCCCATTTCCTTTTTTATTTTGATTCTTAAATCTAAAAATGCAAATGGCATTTTTTCATTTTTTTAAAATTGTTTTAATGCCTTAAAATCTATGCACCTGACTTTGTTGTTATTCCTCTATAGTAGCTGTTTGTTATCATCTTTTATCTATGACTCAGAAGCTTTAAGAGGCATAACCGGCGACCTCAAAATCTGGACATATATGAGGACAGCCCTAGACATCAGAGGAATGGAACGTAATGTAACACTTTGCAAATCTGAGCCATAACAATCCTTTGATCAAACAATTGTACACTGTGCTTCCATCCCTAATCCACTATCCTTACTATTATACCCTTTGACTTCTTTCCTGCAAACTAACAAATATTCATTCAACTCTTATCACCTGCTTTCTCCAACACTGACAGACTTTGAAATACAATTTTGCTTATCTCCTACACTACACTTTTCTTTGCTTTGTTTTTAAACATCTTGGATTTGCCTTTTCATTAGATCCTGTAAATCTTCCTCTTGCTTTCCTCTGCAAATATTTTTTTAACTACAAGTGGAATGCTACTGCTATGTTTTGGTCACTTTCTTTCAATTGGTTGCAATTATCCCCTGTTAATATCTATAGTAAGACTAACATTACTAAGAGACCTTTTTTAAAACTAATTATTTGTAAATAGTTGCACATTATTTGTAATGAATACAAACACCAGTGTAAGAAATATGCAAGAGAAGAGCAGCTTTTTTAGATTACAAACTATGTACAATTACATTTGTTCAAATCCAAATTTCTACATAAAATTGCACATTTTTCTTCTTTCTCAATCTGTCAAAATCAGTAAAGATTGAAATGTAATCTAAAATTTTCAAAATGCTTTAAACCAGTGTTTTATAAAGGCCATATAAAATAGCAAAAATTGTTATGATTATAGATTTATCTTGAGTAGAGCAGCTGATCAAATAGTTAAGATTCAGTGCACAGCATACATATTTCTGAATCAGGTATTTGTGCCTTTTACAAAAGACATACACTTTCAAATTACCTGTACAGACAAATGGTCGTAGTTGTACATGAACGTAAAGTTTTTGATTCAGAGATAGGTTACCTTTGCTACACTTTTATGTGTCCTAAAAAATCTTTTGTTCCTTAATAATTTAGACTGATGAAGGGAAAAAATTGCACAGTAGTAATCTACTAACTGAATTGATGCTTCAAAGTTTAATTTATTCATTACTGGAAAATATTATTTAATGGAAATGTATTTTTTATTTTTACTTTTTCATACTTTGAACACATTTAGATAGATAAAAAAAGTTTTAAAAGAAATCTTTGCTTAAATACATTTTATATACTCAAAAATGACATTTTGTTTCATTTCAAGATTCAAGTAAAGAATGAAAATTGCAAAAAGTCTTTCAGTCATAAATCTCATATGATAATATATGAAACAATTTATTCTATAAAACTCTGATAATAGCTTAATAGAAATAATCTCAAAAACTTTTCTTTGCAGTTTTTTATCCTACATCCAAGAGTTCTCTTAAACATCAAATGACATCCATTCTTATGATTCTTCTGTCATATCCAAGATCCAATAAAGGACTATGTATATTTCTCTTCTTCTTAGATGCTTCTTATATAGGAAACAATTAGAAGACATGAAAGTTCCACAATACCATAACTGAATTTAAAGAAAAAAAGTTTTTCTCCTGGAATTTAGCTGCAAAATTTTAGAATTTGTTTTTTTCCCATTATTTGGATTTTACAACTTTTTAGTTGCCATACCATTTGATGATCTTGTAGAGATGTATTTAAAATTATATATATTTAATAGGTTTTGCATGTTGTTTTTATTGTTTCTTTAAATTCCTTGGTTTCTAAAGAATTCTTGTAGATTTCAATGATAGGAACATAAATGACAGTGTAATAGCATTTGAAATATGTGTACAAGAAATAATGTTAAACCCAGCAATAAGAATCACACTGGCTACTGTCTATCTTCCTTGACACTGAGTAAACACTCATTATGTATTATTTGACAATGGCTTCATTTTCTTACTCAAAGAAGTTAGTTTTTGATTTTGAAATATCTTATGTGCATTTTCTTAAATTTATTTTGAAGTAGATAGATGGCATGTTATTTTACAAAATCTTGCAGTTTTCTTCAATGAAGTCAATTATTGCTTACAGTTAAGTTTTCAACCCCTCTATGCACTTATCAAAAAATCTATTAATTTTTTCAATTTAATATCTTTTACAAATTTACTTTGGATCCTTAAAATTAAGAAAGAAAATATAAGAGTGTAATATTTTCTAAAATTTAACATATTTTACTTTGTTTTACTATTCAGCTACAGAAATGAAATTTCTTAGGATCTGAAGGCAGGTCTTGAGTTCAAACAGCAAATCTTGTTTGCTGCTTTTTTCCCTTGTTATATAAATGGAAAAATGAAATAAAAATACCCATGTCTCTATAAATATAAATAAGACACTGTCACTTGAACTCCCATTTTTTTAGTTTTGTATGCCTAGTTGCAAGATATTTTAAAAATCTCTTTTACAGAAAAGGTTCTTATTAAAAATCTCTTCTATTAGAAATTTGCATTATAAAAAGAGGAAAATTAAGCATGACAGATGAACTATAAATATATTAAAACTCCAGAATTAATAAAATTAGAACAGTGACTAAAATTTTTCCTTTCTGTTAAATATTGCAAATTCAGTATAAAATCTACCATTTTTGCATGGTAGGTTATCAAGATAAAATCAGTGTCAACAAAAAAGCATTCACTGATTCCTCTTCATTGTGCTGATACCTTGATTTCCAAGAAAAGTTATTCCTGAAAAAAATATTGTGTACTTGAAAGTTATTAATAGAAAACCTCTCACTTTTTCCCCCAATTTACTGATCACTTTATCTGTCATTGACATGTCAACAGTTTACATATGCTGAAAACAGTTCTTAATAGATTTATTTGTAAAACTGGTGAAAAATTTGTACAGATTTTTTATTCTTAGCATAACCATTCACTTTTCTGAAAATATTCATATTGATGACTAATTTTTTTTTACATTGTTTAAATTTAAAACTTATACTCCGTGGTAAAACACAAATTAATCTAAAAATTTGAATAAAGCAATTTTGCATGATTATCTTTTTATTGAATTGCTTCTTCGATTTTTCTTTTTAAGGAATTAAGTTTATTTAGGTCAACATATTTTAAAATTTAGTGATATATATATGTATATATATATATATATATATATATATATATATATATAGTGTGTGTATTATGTTTTTACTAGTTTCTATATATTATATATGCATATATACATTGGAACTTAGTCATTAGGCTAACATGTTGAATGTTTTTATTCATTTGTAAATTACAAAATTCAGTTTGTATATCAAAATGGTATGTCATTTGAAAAACAGAAGTGAAACCATAAAGTGAAAAAGATGAATAAATTTTACCAAATGTTTTTATGGATCTGATTTGATGATTTTCTTTGTCTAAAATACTGTCATTTAGTGTCATTTAGCCCATTGTAGCAATTAAAGTATATTTTGTTAGATTATTCTTTATTTATGGAATTAGCAGGTAATCATATTCACATTTAATGTACTAAGATTGCATGTAATTCAAGTAATCTTAGTAGTACTTCTTTTGTAAGGTGAATACTGTAATAATTTGACAGATGAACTGGTGATGTTCTTTATCTAATAGAATTGTGTGGAATGATTGCAATTTCATTGTTTTGTCCATTTATCTCAGATTTCTTTTTTCTTTTTTTTTCTTTTTTTTTTTTTTTTTTGGACAGAAAATGAAATTCAGTCTAACAAAGAACCTATTTTATCTGACCTGGTTCTGTTCCAGAACTGTCCTCTCCTGACCTCTTGCTGACTATCATGGTTAGCTGATCACTCTATTATATATGTCCATGGTCCAGATCAGATAATCATACTTATAAGTATATCAAATAACCTGATTATGCTCCTTGGGCCACATGTAGCATTCATGTGTTACATTGACATGTACTTTGAGTTCAAGCCATACATATTTCAGTATATTATACATAGCATACACTGTATATCTGCTGTCAAATATATTTCAGTACATTTACAGAAGAGGGACAAGAAAATGCTTTGTTATAATGGATACATTTATTTTGTATATTTTAAAAAAATTTATTTAATCTTCTTGATGTTAATTTTAGTCACTGAATATTAATTACAGTTCTCACTTCACAATATATTCTTTCTACACTCCTGATTCTGTCTATGTTATTGTCCTATGATTTTTCCTTCATTATAAATACTTAGTATTTCTGAGTTATGGACGGCACACAAAAATAAAGTATGTTTATACAGTATGTCTATTAATTTCTAATTGAGGATGACAACAGAATTATCATGATTGTGATGCAAAATCCTTTAAAAAAGTAAAACTTTTTTTCTCCTTCTTTGAAATAAATAAAATGCATGCTGTGATGGAGGAATTAATAAATATTGAATAATAATGAAGGATGAAATTTTATATATCAATGCACAACTAAATTCCAGAAATTATAAAATTGTTGTAAAATTATTGAAAATTGTACAAATAAGTTTAATTTCTATCTCTGCCAACAATTTTTAATTGTTGTTTAGGAATTTATATTGATTTTCTTTGATTTTGTTCTTTTTTTTTAATGAAATAGCAATTTGCAGTATATGGTAAGAAATGATATGCTTTCTGGAAATCTACAGTAATCACTGTCAATGCTTTTTTTTTTAAAATGTATTTGTCTTTTTTATTCTCTCACCCTTATTTTTTATTCCTTGTGTATTTATCATTTTATCCTTATTATTATCTTGAATTTTGTTATTATTGTCATTATTATCTCTATTTCTTATCCTTTTTATTATTATTATTATTAATTCTGATGATTGCTGCTTTTTTCCATATATATTTAATGGAAGTACATCAACTTCTATCTAATCTTGGTGGTGTTGTTTTTTCATTGCAGAAGGCTGTGTGATGAGGATGATGAGCTGAGCGAAGTAGAGCCTGATGCAGTACCAACAGAAGTACGTGATTGGTTGGCACTGACCTTCACCAGATCAATGAACAATATAAAGCGGAAAGGAGAAGATAAACCAAGATTCAGGAGCGTTGCAAATGTTATACGAGCTGGGATTATGGTAGATAGGTAAGTACAAAAAACATTCACATTAGTAAGTTGAAAAAGAAATAAAAAACAAAAAGGGTACACTTTCTATGTTACAAAATCAATATTCTTTATCACAAAATAAAGACATATTAAGAGTCAAATGTTTTACAAGTGTGATACATGATTGACTTATAGTAAATAGGAGAGAACTTGAAATAATACACTAATTGATTAGTGAAGAAAAGAAAGAACTGTTTACAAAGGCCTCCATTGTTCTTCATCAAAAAAGCAAGAAGTAGAGAGCTATTATAGACATGAGACAAGGTTAGATTATAGCACGCTGATAAAGACATAAAATTCTGTTATTAGTAAGTACAAAAAAGAACTAATTTGTAGCTACTGTCAAAAAAAAACATTTTTAATAACTTGTTTTTATTTTGATATGTGTCAACATGAATACACAAAAGTAATGTTCGTATATTTGAGTTGGGATTGTGATAAAAAGATAAAAATTATCAACTAAATTGATTTGATCACCTGTTAGAATCTATTGAGAAATATTAACCTGACTGAATTAGAGTTTGTTTTCCCTGTGTGTGTTTTTAGATCATCATTATTCTCTTTGTTCTTTGCAATTCAGCATTTTAAAAATAACATTGTATAGTTTTTATCAACTTCTAATTCAAATGCACTAACATTCTAAATCTGAGAACAAAATTCTTTGAACTAATTAACCTAAACTACACAACATGGTACTTTCACAAGGAACTGAATCTAGTATATTACTCATATTAATGTACAAGAAGAAAAAATCTGTCAAATAATAAGGATTCCCCAGAAAAGTCCATTACTTGAATGCAGTATTGGACTTGTTAAAGTTACAGTACTGTGCAAATTAATTGGGACAGTGACTTCAATTAAATAGCGAAATGATATATGTTTATTTTTTCCAAAAAGGTTAACATAACTGTTCTGAAATGTCACAGTAGAGCCTGCCTTTTCACAATGCATCTAACACTAGACTTGCTTATCTTGAGGCTTTGGGCTATTTGTCATACAGATTTGTTTGAATGTTCATGGAATGCAATAACCTGTGCGCACTTTCTATGAGTTATATCCATTTTTATTTTACTTGTTGAAAGAAAATAATGAGGTTAGTTTTGAAATCAGAAGCATTAACTGAAGAAACTGAAGGACTTACAAGCAAAACCATATAAATCACACAATTCTTAACCAAATACAAAGTTTAGTCACAAATAAATTCTAAGTATTCAAAATTGTTTTAAAAGTGTTCTATTGCAACATGAGTGTACACTGCAATGGCTTCATTGTGATTAGGAGTCATGACGCTGTTCAAAGACAGTATAAAAGAAAAATATATTAAACTGAATTCACTGTCCCAATTAATTTGCACAGTACTGTAGTATAAAGAATTGACTGAATTTTAAAAGCAGTGCAAGTAATATATAAAGGTGTAAAATTATCATCATTTTTCTACCCATTGACTTACAAATCTATGGTCAACAGCCAGAAAACCGAGCTTTATGTTAGTGACTACAATTAAAATGAGTCAACTGTAAAAACAAACTTATTATTATCTTAATATCAAATATTGTCTTCTTTGGGGCATGCTTAAATAGTGATTCTTTAAATTCAAGGTTTGGAATTGATTTCATGCTCGATCCCAAATTTTACCATAGAGAGCTATCAAAAATATAATCTCCCATTTGTATTTCCCCTGATATGAGCATTATTATATCCGTGATATAATAATACTGTATTTCACAGACAGAATGCCTGAAAGGAAAAAGAATGACAGACATGCTTTATTCTCAGAGAGACTTTTATACACAAACTATATTTACACATGTCCCACATAAGGAATAATATATCATATATATCTACACAGCAAAGCAGAGTGTAAGAAACACAAAGGAAGAGTCTTACTTATAATATGGAGATATTCTTGTATCTGGAGAAGCCATATTTAGGACTCTAGATTCAAACAGAGTGGATTCATCTGTGTCCCAGGTGAAAACATATTCCACAAACAGGAAGCAGCACAACGTGCTTGTAAGTTATTGGGAGAGGCAGATTTAACCTCAGCATGGGCCCTTTGGCCCAAGCTAAAAGAAAGCAACCTTACATAGTGGCTGCTGTTAACAAATGAATTGACTGCTGTTTTTGTCACTGTATGGAGTGACATCACTAAGCAGCCATCATGTGACCCATGTGACATCTTCACCAAAGGGAGATAATCGCCTTCTGTATACCTACAGCAACAAAATATTTTAGCATAACACCATATTGATGGCCGAAAAAGAATTAAAATTACAGGAACTTCTAGACAAGGTAGTAAAGGAAAGAATACAGGACTAACCATCAATTGTAAGAAGATAGAATGTATGGTCATTAGCAAGAAAGATAGCTCAGTATACAAGCTACAAGTTGGAGACATCAAAATCATGCAAATAAATAAATTTTAACTACTGGGAAATGTTTTACAGATGACAGAAAACATGACACAAAAATCTAAAGGTGCATTGAAATATCTAAAATTGCCTTCCAAAAGCTAAACAAAGTATTAAGAAGCAGGAAAATTTCATTAGAAGCAAAGAAAAAAGTGCTCAATAGCTATGTAATATCAATCCTCCTCTATGGCAGTGGATGCTGGACAATTTCTTCATAGATGAGAAGATATAAGAAGTATAAGTATTAACATTTATAATCATTGTGCATATTTTTAGGTTTGAATAACTTGAATGTCACAATTTACAGTAATGTTATTTTGAAATTAAGAAAACAATTCAATGAGAAGCCAAAGGAAAGAATAAAGTAAAGATCACACTTTATATAACTCTTCATAAAGTGAGTGCCAATTTTCCTGATTTTTAAATTAGATATTAATGTGGCTAATACCATCATACCAGATCTGATTCAGAAGAAAAGTAAAAAATATACAACAGTGTGCAAGAAAGGAAGATCTTATAAGTTTTTTATATTAACCATTATAAATATTAAAAAAGTTTTTGTAACTTATTTTTCATAGGATAAATGATTTACATAGTTTGTTTTTTTTACATTTAAAGAATAATTTGAATTGAAAATTTTAATTTTTCTTCGTTCTGCAATAAAAGAAGCGATGGACATAAAGATAAATACAAGTATTATAATTGGATGTGTGTATACATTGTATATATTAAAAATTATTTCCTCAGAATCTACCGGCGAATGTCAAGTTCAGTTGGCTTGCAAATTCCTCAGAATGTACTCACGGTATTAAAGGTAAGTTTGTTAGTTTTTAAATCATTTAATATAATAATATTGCTTTTCCTTGACTCATATTTATTCATATTCAGAGATTGGGTAATGTAAAAACTCCTCTATCAAATCATTATCATTTACTATATGATTACTAGCACAAAAATCACAAATATATCTTTATAAATTCCTCAGGATGCATTTTCATTACCCCCTCCACATTATGAACAAAGTCATCAGTGTAAATAAACAATATTTCAAAGAAAATGCAATCATCACTTTAGATTATTTATTCAAGTTTCATCACTTTAGATTTTATTTATTCAAATGTTTAAAGGGTAACAAGTATTACTCATTATACTGGGTGACCATGAAGTCTGGACACATGAATTTGGATGAAAACAACCACTTCATATAAGACTGCGTGTACACCATGTAATGGTCAGGATTGGGAGACATAGCCATGTGGAATGGGATCCTTGCTCTCCAGATATTAGTCTCTTTGTCTTCTGTGTTTGGGGTAATCTGAAGGAGAAGGTGTACATATGTATTCAGATTTTATGGTCACCCTGTACAAAGGATTGAAATATATCACTTATTTTTTCGTTCTAATCAGAATATTTCTGTCTTTAATTGTATTCCAGTAAGCATGTCCTAAAGGATTATAGTCATACATACATACACACACATACATTCAAGAAATCTTAGTAAAGAAGGGATCAAACCTGTGTCCTCCCTTGTAGGGTAAACCTTTGTTTGGTTCAGTGTGACCAAGATATAAACTTCTTGGCTAAATAGAACAACACAATAAGCAAGGTTCTATGCTCATGTACTCAGTCTTGAAACTTGCTAAAATACTATTGAGCTGCAAGCCTAACTTGATAACCATTCATCCCCTTATTTGGTTATAATGAAAATGAATTAAACCAGGCATAACACAATCTTCAGTTCAGTGACCTAAACACTAAGCCAAAAAAGTGGCATTTTTAAAACTAGAAATTTATTTCACCTAATTAAAAATGAATTTTAAGAGATCAAACCATACATTCATTTAAAACTTTTACCACAGAGCCATAATCTAGATCATTGCTTTACTAGGTTTATTTTTGGAGATTGTTCACCATCCATAAAAGTACCAATTTGAACATGATAGGACAAATGGCCTATAATAGTAAGCCTGCTTCACTAATGGGCTATCAAGTGACATTTCCAAAGTTTAAAAAGTGTGTAAATGTTTACACTATGTAGCAGTGATATTTTAAGATATCATGTGTCTCTTTTACTTTCTGATTGGTGCATTAGTTATTTCTTATAAAAGATAAAGAACAAAGAATTGAAATTTTATCTTAAGATATAAGGTCTCTTGACTAATGCAAGGAATAAAATTACTTTCAAATCAATAAGAATATTGTTAAATATAGTCTTTTTTCTTTCAATCTATTTGGCACCACTTACCTTTATATGATCACTGTATATATTTATGTGCATATATTAGGTAACCAAATAGTTTATTTTGTTTTTGTTGCTAGATAGCATTAGGAGTGTTTAGTTTTAACTAACTTAACTAACTTCCTTCAAAAAGTTTGCTTTTATTGTATTATGATAACTGTCATATAAAAAAGCATTTTAAAAAACATGTGTTTTTGTTTATTGATTCTACACTGAATATAGAAGTAAATAGGTACTATTGTTCATTGAACATTGTTGTAAACTATCCATTTTTCATTGCCTGTCATAACTTTTCATTATATTTAAGTTGCAAATCACATTTTTCAATGCAACAGCATTTCTTATTACTATAAACATTGTTATTTTAGTGGTTACACATGTTTTGAGAAAACATCCCCTTTTTTCTTCTTTTTTTGAAACATGGAAATTAATAGCTACAGGCCTAGATAAGCAATGGTTTTATTAAAGAAAATGTGTGTATTTCAGCAGAAATTAAACCTTTTTTTTTTTCCTGGAAAACCACTTTTTAGCTAGGTGTGCTATAACCATTTCAGTCACTAAGTTCCTTACAGCAAAGCATGGCTCAATTACTTGTCATTGTTTATATGTTAACATATTTTCATGCCCAAAACAAAGTCCTAATAGGAGTTTCTTAGAAAGGGTAATTGAGTCTTGCTCTGCTGTAAGGACCTCAGTTGCCAAAATGGTAATAGCATGACTATCTAAAAAGTAGTTTCTCAGAAAAAAGGCAATATAACTATTATTATTTCTTGGCAGAAATCATTCTTCAATAAGACTTTTGAGGATCTAGGATAATTTCAATGTTTTTAAATTGTAAATAAACAGGAAGGTCTACTCAAACACTTGTACTCACTAAAATAATAATGTAATTATATATATATATATATATATATATATATATATATATATATATATATATATATATATATATATATATGATATTAATTTTTTTCAAAATGTGTAAACTACACTTCAGAAAAAAGATGGCAGTTTGAGAAAGTGTTCAAAGCACATTAAAAGGTAAAAACTAAACAAAAACAAATAATATTCACTCACCTGGAAATAATTAATTATTTATTACATAATAGTCATCATTTATTTATGAATGAAGTATGAATTTCTTCTTTATACATTTTCAGGTGCAATTAATTTTGACCTTTTTTTTATTTTTATAAGTTGTTAAATAAGCAGTAAAGAAAGTTATTCTTATGTAGAATTCTGCCTAAAACTTATAATTTGCCCTCAACTAAAATGACATCAAATCCTACATCTTTTTTTGTTGCATTTTGTGCCCCCAACCCTGTATATTGTGTTGGTTAAATTTGGATGTGTTTAATATATGTTTCAGGGTTTTAGATTGGCATTTGCTTTTAATTATTTTGGTTGTTTTTAGTACATTTTTCATTTTGTCATTCTTGTTAAGTCGGTCTATATTACTTGTAATTTCTGTAAATAGTTCTGGATTGTTCTTATTGTATGTTGAGACACATGCTAGGCTTTATTCAATGTTATTTTTCTTTTGGATTTCATAGTTGGTCCAAAGGTGTTTTTTCTGCTAGTTCAAAACCTTTGTTTATAAGTGTTGTAAGGTGCCTTGTTTTTGTAGAGTTCTATATAGTTCTTCTATGTGGGTTTTTCTGAGGTGTTTGTTGGTTTCTATAGTGCAAACCCTACGTGCTAGGGAATAAGGGATGGATTTCAGTCAGCTTTTTGGGTGATGGCTCTTGAAATGAAGATATTGTTGGGTATCTGTAGGTTTGTGGTCGATATCTGTGATTATGTAGTTGTTTCTATTTCTAATGAGTATATCTAAAAATGGTAATTTGTTAAAATTTTATTCTTGGGTGAATTTGATTTTTGGGAGTAAATTCTGAAGTAGAGTGTGGAATTGGCTAATATCGCCCCATGAGGATTTCCAGAAAATTAAGCAATCATCCATAATTGTTCCCATGATTTAGTGAAGTGGGTTTTTATATTTTCCCCATATATTTGTTCTGTCTGTTTATGTAGGTTTTCCTCTAGGTAAGCTAATGTTAGGGTGGCATATGTAGATGCCATTTCTGTTCCCACTGTGGTACCTAGGGTTTGGATATAGTTTTTGTTGTCAAATTCAGAAGTGTTATTGTTTGGAATCAGGTCTATACTATCAATAATGAATTCCTTAGTAAATCTGGGATGTAGTGTTTCTGGATGTTTTTTTCAATCCAGAATGAGATTGCCTGTTTACCTGATTCATGGGGTATGTTGCTATATAGATTACTGATGTCAAAAGTGTTCCTGGATCAACTTTTTGGGGTATGAAGCTAAGGAAGTGGATGTCGTCTCTGATGTAGCTTTTAATATGCTTAGTAAATGGTTTTAGTATTGTGTCTATTAAGTTACTGAATCTGCTAGTTAGACAGGATGGTCCTGCTACTATGGGTCAGAATGTAAGGTCACTGGGGTTTGGGAAGTCACTCTTGCCAAAAGTTAAATAAATGAGATCAAGGCTTACTACAAATTCAAAGAATTAACAATGAAATATTAAAAGAACATAAAGAAATTTTATTCCTTTAAAAATTGATTCCTTTAATTTGCTTGAAGAAGGTCACAAGTCCAGAAACATGTGTAACAAAAATATGAAAAATAAAATATAGTATCTACACCAAAACTAACGTACTGTCTGCTGTGTTATGAGTTGGCTCTGTATCAATTTTTCAACGGCTGTCTTTATTAAGTATTAAATTTTAAATCTCTAGTTTTGACACTGAATACAGTCCACTGTCTGAGTTGAATAAGGCTGATACATGACGTAATTTTGAAATAGACTATACTCATGAGGTAATTTTGGATTTCTCTGTTGTGTAATTAATATACATATACATATATATATATATATACATCATTGAGCAGATAGCCTTAAACAGAAAAGAGTGAACAAATTGGCATTAAAGGATTTGAATTTAGATGCCTCTAATATCTAAGATACAAGTATTTAAGTAAATCCTCTGTTTATAATAAACAGTATTAAACAACATTTACTGGCCTGAATGTCCGAGAAATTTTCATAGAAAACATTTGTCCTCTCTGAAAATTTCATTCTGTGAAAATTTCTCGGACATTCAGGCTGGTAAATGTTGTTTAATACAGTTTATTATAAACAGAGTATTTACTTAAATATTTGTATCTATAAAAAGAATGTATAAACATAAAAATGTCTTAAAATAATTGTCAGACTTTGTCCATTTCATAATGTGTGACGTCATATGTTTACATTTGATACCCCATGAGCAGATATGAATGTACGTGAGAGATTCATGGAAGATTGAAGTTTAAATACAGTAAATTCAACCTTGCTAACCAAATGCTCCTCTATGGCCAAATCGGTAAAGGCACATCAAGCTAAATGACGGTTCCATATAGGAAACAGTTTTGAATCATGTCAGAGGACGAATGTTTTCTATGAAAATTTCTCGGACATTCATGCCAGCAAATGTTGTTTAATACAGTTTATTATAAACAGAGTATTTACTTAAATATTTGTATCTATAAAAAGAATGTATAAACATAAAAAT